TACAACAAGCTTAATTTGCACTGATGACTTTTACAGAATATAACTGTATTACAAAAGTCACCTGCATTTAATTCTTAATTCTTCAATCAACTGATTGTAACAACTTAAAAAAAAAGAAAAGATAAAAGATTCAATCATTACGAATGGCTTAAAAATGATTGATGTAAGTAGGAGTAGTTATTCCGGAGATAGGTTTGTCCTTCCATTCAAAGCGTGTTAAGATGAATGAAATTACTTGTCATGAATATTTTTAAAATAGTCAGTTGAATTCATTAAATGTGATAATAATGAGTCTCAAGTCGTCGTAGCAGTAGAAATGGAAAGATATCAAAAAATTGTGTCAAAATAGTAAGAAATAAATGTTATGAATTTAAAATGCTTACTCATCATAATTTTTAAGTATGTAGGGCCAGGCGCTTTTAATACTGACAAAGGGTGAATAGTATTATGGTCTCCCCGCCTACTTGAAAAGTTATTTTGCCAATATTGCGTTCAGGCTTTGGTTGGCCAAGGTTTTTCGTTCTTTCAGTGCCAGGATCGTGCAAAGTCCTTTTTCTTGTAGAGTACTAAGACACCTCAGTACCAGATTATCTGAGCACTTAGAAACCCAAACGCCTTCGTGGATTTTCCGTTCTGAGCTCTTTGCAACACCCTTGTGAGCTTCAACCCACGCAACATCAACAAAGTCAAACAACAGCTGCAGGAATGAAATATATAGTGTTCTGGAGGCTTCGTCGTTAAGCATGATCGTGTGCGAGAAAATAGCAACAGTGGAAATCTACCCTAAGGGTCCAGTACATCTATTCAGCGTCTTATTTCGCTGCATGTCGCTAAAAGCGTAAGAATTGAGCGAAAATTTATTTGAATATTTGCAGGCAATTGGAATGCCAAGGACTTAAAATCGCTGGAGGAATCTGTACATTGTAAACATGAAAGCCCTTAAGTCTCACGTCAGACCAACGATTACTTCCATCGCTAATTAGGGACTTTAAGCAAGATGAAACGTTGTAGGATGCTTCCTATAGCTTAAAGGCGGAGGGGGGGGGGGGGGGGGGGAACCTCCCAACCCTTCCCTTCTTTGGGCTTTTTAAGGGAAGAGGGGATTTTTTTTGGGCGGGGGGTTCCCTTGTTTTTTTAGGTTGCCCATCGAGATCGGGAGGGGAACCGGTCTAACCCCCAACAACACACCGACTCGTTGTCCCCGTTTCGCTCTAAAAAAAAAAAAAACATAAACAATAAACCATAGCCTACATACTCA